CTCCATCTTAGAGGATCTGGAGTTTTATTTCAAAAGACCGTATTATTATCCAGTTTCGGTTGTTCAAGGGAGCCAAAAATAAACCAAAACCATCACCGTATTAATTATTGCCTTTCAACAGCCAGTCGCCTTGAGCATCATGAAAACACTTTCGCTGCTTATAAAGATACAGATACCTGACTTTGGCAGGATTGTGTACAGTGTTTTTAACTTTCAGGTGGAATCAAAAACTCAATTTCCTCCAAAAACTGATGTGCTATCTTTTAAGATAAAACTCCAGAGATGCACTATGGAGTGGGCGCTGTAAAAGTGATCTTTATTACTTTTTGTGTAATGTTGTGTATTTATCTAGGCCTTTGTTATAAATATGTATGTCTGGGACAAATAAAAGTGTAATATATTTATTGTTATATTATTTTATTTTATTATTGTATTTTATGAGCCAGTCTGTCCTTTTGCCTCCTGGAACGTACGTCTTTGCTTGCATGCAGGCCCCAAACCCTCTGCTTCCTCAGCGTTACAATGTTCTATCTGACATGTTTGGCCGTTTTGAGTTACTACGACCATGAGGTCAGAAACCAAATGTTTTGTCTGCTCTATAAACAGTGGAAGATTCAAAAGAGTGGCATGTTGTGGAACTCTAAATCTTTGGCGTCACATTTCTGATATTCAAAGAATTGCATTTGAAAAAGCTTGACATGTTGTGGAACTCCAATAAATTTTTGACGTCACATTTCTCAAAGCTAGGTAGGCTACTGATCAGATAGAACGTTGTAGTTCTGAGGTAGCGCCACGTCAAGTTGCCTGGCCTTACTCTTTTCCTTTTTCCTGTGGACTTTGAAACTTGAGGCGGTCAAGCCATGATTAAAGTATTAGCCAATAACAATGCGGATGGGAAAGTGACCACGAAGGGAAGCAAGTATTAGAATTCAAGGTAAATATGTTTTCATTTATCCAGTCATGCCCCTTTAGCTTAAAGGGTTTTGTTTTTGATTTTATTGTTTTTTTTGTTGTTTTTTTTTGTTTGGTTGTTGTTGTTTGTTTTTTATTGTTCTTTTTTTTTGTTTTTTTTTTGGAGGCGGGTTTTGGAGTGGGTTGTTGTGTTTTTGTTTTTGTTTTGTTTTTGTTTTTATTTTGTTTGTTTTTTTGTTTGGGTTTCTTTTTTTCTTTTTTT